GACATTTTGCTGGAGAACTTAAGGCCATCTGTCCACCAATTGAAGCTCAACAGAAGATGGGTGATGCAACAGGACAACGACCCAAAGCACAGAAGTAAATCAACAACAGAATGGCTTCAACAGAAGAAAATACGCCTTCTGGAGCGGCCCAGTCAGAGTCCTGACCTCAACCCAATTGAGATGCTGTGGCATGACCTCAAGAGAGCGATTCACACCAGACATCCCAAGAATATTGCTGAACTGAAACAGTTTTGTAAAGAGGAATGGTCCAAAATTCCTCCTGACCGTTGTGCAGGTCTGATATGCAACTATAGGAAACGTTTGGTTGAGGTTATTGCTGCCAAAGGAGGGTCAACCACTTATTAAATCCAAGGGTTCACATACTTTTTCCACCCTGCACTGTGAATGTTTACATGGTGTGTTCAAGAAAAACATAAAAACATATAATTGTTTGTGTGGTTTTAACTTAAGCAGACTGTGTTTGTCTATTGTTGTGACTTAGATGAAGATCAGAACACATTTTATGACCAATTTATGCAGAAATCCAGGTAGTTCCAAAGGGTTCACATACTTTTTCTTGCAACTGTATTTGCTGCGTGGATACATATATTTTCAGTCACCTCATGTTGGGGTGGGTTATTATATAGTTTGACCTGAATGTATCGTGGCTTGTTCTACATTGGATGGTTATTGACTGTATTGCATGAATCTAGGACCAATTATCATATCATTCAGGCTGCATGATAGCTCAGTGGTTCGAGCTGGAGCGGCCAAATACTGCTATTTTCAACAGGCCTGGGATTTGATCCTGCGAATATTTCAGTGCAATGTCTTCCCCTCTGTTAACCCTTTGACCAATGTATCTCTCTTGAATATAAGTCAAACTTATAAGTACAACTATAAAAAATACAAGCAAAAACAAGAGACGAATGCATGTTTTATTAAAATAAACTGTTCTGTTGTATTATGGTGGAGAAACCCCAGAATTGGATGTGGCAAAAACTGGGTGTAAGTGGATAAGACATATTTTAGGGATTTCTTTCACATAAATATACCAGGAAATCAACATTGTTCAGATTTCTTCATAGGAGACACCATTTTTTTTACATTGCGTTTACATATTATAGTATTTCAAATTCCAACGTTTCCTCAGAGCTCACTAAACCTGGGTTGGGGACATTACGTTTTATCTAAATGTTATTCAATTCAAGATAATATTACAGAAATAGTTGGAAAATAAATCTATCATATCATTACATTTTACAGCTGTCAGGAGGAAAGTAATCCTGTGTCTAATATAATTATACTGTGTAATGGAAAACAGTCTTTAAACACCATCGGAGTCTAATTCAGACACGTTCAGTAAAACTCACCAACAATAATGATAAACATGATGATAACTCCTTTGCCACACTGTTGATTGGTTTCTGGATTTAATAATGGCTTTATCTCCTAACTAATGAAATGCCCTAACTACTGCTGGTGCAATAAAAGGTAGTAATACACTAATTACTAATTAAATAGGCTGCTACTCATTATGTCAGTGAGGATTGCATTGTGGGTCGAACGGAGAGCCCAAGTCCTGCACCGGCTAGTCTTCTGTGAGGCTTCAGGCGATGCTCAGAGCTGAACATGGTTTACTGCAGAAGTGTGTGTGTGTGTGTGTGTGTGTGTGTGTGTGTGTGTGTGTGTGTGTGTGTGTGTGTGTGTGTGTGTGTGTGTGTGTGTACATTGGAGACTCTTCTCCTGTGTGAGCTGAATAGATGATCAGTGTGTCTGCGAGCCAAACTGGGCTACTGCAGCACACCAGTCCTTACCTGATAAAGGTAGACACACACACACACACAGGCACATTGTTCTATGTGCACACACACACACACACACACACACACACACACACACACACACACACACACACACACACACACACACACACACACACACACACACACACAAGGGGGGGGTGTTATCTCCAAATGAAAGATAGACTTGGCAGACATATCCATAACTGTAGATAGCTGAAGATAGGATCTTTTCAGATAGGAGGTGTGTGTGTGTGTGTGTGTGTGTGTGTGTGTGTGTGTGTGTGTGTGTGTGTGTGTGTGTGTGTGTGTGTGTGTGTGTGTGTGTGCCTGCCTGTGTGTGTGCCATCTTATCTGTGTTTTTGCAAGGACTCTCTTTTTATCTCTATATGTGGCTACATGCGTTTGTGTGTATTCAAGCATTTCTATAACGCATATGCATACGCCTGTGTGTATTTGTCCTGTGTGAACACTTATCTCCAGTGCGATGAATATACGTGTTTGTGTGTTTGTGCCGGTTGTGCGCTCTCATTTTTTTCGGAGCGCAGCCAGGATATGGCCTCGGGGCTGCTGGGGGTATTAGGGACTATTTTTTAGCAGGGAATCGGATTAGGGGAGCGCGGGGAACGGCGTGGCCGAGGCTGATTTCCTGTCAACAGCCTCCGTTATCCCTCAATCCCTCCCTGTGAGGGGAGTGGGACCGCACTGTGAGCTGTGCCCCGGGCTCACAGGGAGAGAGACATAGAGAAACACAACAAGAGAAAGAAAGAGAGGAGGAAAAATAGCACGAACGGGGAGACGGTGGTGACAATCAGAAAAATGGAAAGAGGGGGACAAAAATGAGAGGGGAGAGGTGAGGGAGAATTGAATTGGAGAAAGCGGAACTGAGCAACAAATAAAACCAGGATCAGAGAGTTTATGATTATGATCAGGAAGCCTAAGTACAGACTGAAATGTGCCAAATCCTCATTACTGGCATCGGAGTATACACCCAGAAAGGCATAATATAAAAACGTTGCATTGTCTCCATGGTTTGTGTGGGCAAGAGTGTTTCAATTGATTTATTTAAAGGAAAGTCCCAATGAGATTAAAGCAATGAGAGTACTGGCCAAGATAGTCAGCAGCACAGTAACAGGCTCAAATTAAAAACAATAATAAAGAACATATATGGTCACAATCAGTAACATCATGATAAAAAGCATCTACAGACAGAGTGTTGTTCTTCTCTGGAGCAGCGTAACTGAATGCCCTTTCCCAAGCCTGGTGACTTTAGGGACAGTGAGCAAAACAAAAGTTGACAGGTTACTGTACTTTGATGTAGTCTGCATAGCCTCATATATAAGGGTGTTCCGATGGTTTTGTCTACGGATGATCAGGGAAGACCATCCAACCTGAGCATGCAACGAACAATGGTGCGTCAGGGTTTTAGGATAAACCTAACCTTGTGCGGAGAGTTTGGAACAATGGCAGATACATCCCCTTGGACTCTGCATTATTTAATATCGAATGCATGTGTGGTGTTTTTTTCCGTCCCAGGGTGTGGAGCGTGCGCTACAACCACAGCCATGACCAGCTGGTGTTGACAGCCAGCAGTGACAGCCGCCTCATCCTCTCCAACATGGTGTCCATCTCCTCGGAACCTTTCGGACACTTGGTGGACGACGAGGAGCTCAGCGAGGGCGAGGACAACCACCAGGAGGACAAGTAAGAGCAACTGGGGCTACTTAGGAAAGGAAATGCAGTGAGACCATGCGTTAATACATTAGAGCAGTGGTTTTCAAACTGTGGGGCGCGGAGGTACTGCAGAGGGGGCGTTGGAAGATTTTTTAATTTTATTATTTTCTCCTTTTAGCTTTGTGAAGATGACGTTGTTTTTAAAGTGTGCTATATAAATCAAATGTAGTATTATTATTATTATTATTATTCAATTGTAAACAAACAGTACTCGAAAATGTCTCATTGGTCAGAGAGCTGTGGGCATAATGCTGCCTTTTGCAACATCCTACTTGTGTGAGATAGGCTTTTCTGCTGTTGCTGCCATCAAAACGAAATACAGATCAAAGCTGAACATTGAGAATGAACTGAGAGTGGCAGTCTCAAAACAACAGCCCCGGTTTGAGAAGATCTGCGAGGGAAAGCAAGCACACACAAGTCATTGATAGATTATGTGTGGAATAGGAATGGTAAAGAGATGTGATCGTTTGCAACCTGCAGTAGAAATAGTAGTTAATTAATATATTTTCCTTAAAGAAATTTGAATTTAAAAATCTACTACTCAGGGATGAAGGCCAACCAGTTTTAAAAATTAAATTCACAGTATCTATTACAAGCACTTTTGTTCATGTGTAATCCATAATAAAATATGAAATTATAGTTGGATATTTGTATCTTTGTAAAATGTAATGTTTTTACAACAATATACAATTAAACCTACCAATATAGATGGGAACCGGGTTGGGGGGGTCCCGAAAATATTTCCAATTTCCCAAGGGGGGCCCAACTGAAAAAGTTTGGGAACCACTGCATTAGACACATAGTTATAATGCTTTATAATCGGTTTATACTCCTGTATAATAGTCATAAGCACTCATACATCTTCATTAGGCTTTACACCAATAATTATATAATATTATAAATTGTTTTATAATGACTTATAAGGTCAGGAATCATAGTACTTCCTTATTGGTATTTTTCTTAAATAACCCTTCATATGAAGGTCTTCTCTATAATGTAGGGCTGTGCGATTATGGCAAAAATCATAATCACGATTATTTTGGCCAATAATTGATATCACGATTATCAAAAACGATTATCCATTTACTTTGAAAACATCAATTTCTTGAAAAAAAGATGTTTGAACAGTATGTTTTTAACAGTTGATTACCCTGAACTTTATTTTTTAATTAAAAATAATAATCGTTTTATTTTGATTATGTTGTTTTCGTAATCGTTGCAAGCCAAAATCGTAATCGAGATTAAAATACGATTAATTGCACAGCCCTACTATAATGCATCATAAGCATATTCTTAGGAAATGATAATGCATTTATTTGGCATGGTGTTTTAAAGCGTTATAGGAGATGAACTTATAATACATTATTTCCACTACTTATTATACTTGATATACCTTGTTTAAAGTTGTTATAAATGATTATAACCATTTACAATGTTTTATTATGCACAATGTTTAATAAACATGACCTTCATTTTTCTTTGTCATAGAGTCATAGCAAATTATAACTCCTTCTTCCTTATAAATGTTTTGTTATTATTACGCTTAAATATGCATTTTAATTTATATAGCATGTTTATAATTCATTATTTACATGTCAGTGAGCGACCAGCAATAAGGAAGTATGATACTCGACGTTATAAGCATTAAGAATATTTCTGTAATGACGCCTTGTGCATTATAAACACAAGTGTAAAGTGATCTAAGATTCAGTAATAAGTGCTTTTCTTCAGTAATAATTCACTTTTAGATAGGGACTTAAACCAATCATTTATTACAGCTTGGGCTTTATTTTTGTAGCTACCCTATCAGTTATGTTTTTCCAGGCTGTAAGATTGTTAAAACAGAGTATTAATAAGTATTTGGGTTTTTACTGTCCACTGTAACTCACTTGACTGTTATCATCTTGAACTTTGAGGAGGCTACGCTAAGTGTCTTGGTTATTGGTGCTCCACTAAACTTGTTCATATTCCTCAATACTGAACACACTGGAGGAAAATAAATTGAGATGGAGCAGTATTAGCTCCACTGCCAATTATTGATGTTTATCACCATGCATAAACCATCCTTCATTGGCCCACTTAATAAACATTAACAGGGTTGTGAATTCATTCTTTTGGATGCATAATGCCAGTCTATTTCAAGATGACACTTTTCTTGCTCCGTGCATCTCCCTATTACCGTGTGATCCATGAATTCCCCTCATCCTCTTAAAAGTATTTGGACATTGATTCCCCTTTTTCAGTTTTGATTCTATTTTATAATGTGGAGCACATTTGAAATATAGGTGTGGGATCGCTGTGTTAAAGGGATAGTTTGTATGTTTTGAGGTGGGGTGGTCTGATTCCTCGACAAATTAGTTTGTTTGTGTTATTTTCTGCCTTACAAATGTAGTTAATACACTGAATGTGGACAAGTGCCTCACACATCCCAACTATAATACACCCAAACTATCTGTTTAAAGTTTTAAATCTGTTTATATCCTATTATGCTTTTTGGGGTTTTCCCTTTCCTGGTCTTCAAAGGATCAAATCCCAACGTTTCTCTTCCACACACCCAATTTCTGAACATTTAATCATGTAAACATGTCACAGTATAAGCACAAAATATAAATATGAACCTGAAAGTGAGCATAATAGGGCCCCTGTAAGGCACAGCTTTCACCACCACATCGATAATCTTTTTTTGTTCTTGTAAAATAGACCTTTCTCATTTCTCCACTGTCACAAGGAGCCTAATGAGACACACAGTGAGATATATCAGCATATACTGTAAAGAAACACACCATGTATTCTAACTGTTCATTTGATATTAGGGCCCTGAAGATTAGAGCTGACTGCCTCAACCTTTACTTTCACACTCTTTAAGACCAAGTGGAAAGGAAAAAACAGTGAAAGATATTACTGTCAAAACAATTCTGCGGTTTTGTAGTGGTTACTATTCAGTACTTTCACTTCTGCCACAGTCCTCCATCCGCTCTGGCCTAATTCAGCCTCTTACCTATGACTACCAGCTCTTACACTCAATGACTGACTCTCATGCACAATTATCAACTCTTCTCCCTAATCACCAGCACTCAGCTTTGTTTGAACCCTTCCACTATACTTATTGACCCCTCTTGTGTGTACGGTACGTGTCCACTCCACGGTACCTGGACACTACAGACAGGACTCCTCCAGTGGTGGGACTGTCTTCTGATTTTATACGGTAGCTTTTAAAACTCAACAGATAAGACGAAATTCAAAGATGGTGACACTTTTCAATATAACCAAACAGAAGAGGATAGGGTTTTAACACTCTAAACTAAAGGCATGAGTTTTTCAATCAAACAGATCTTCACTATATCTACATACAGATGGAGATTTTTTTTTGTATATTTTAGGAAGTTTAAAACATAATCCCTTATATAGGCTGTTGCAGGTTAGGGTTAGGGTTAGCAAAAACTGGACTCGTACAGTAATCCAGATTATGTCCACTTCTTTTAAAAGCGTATAGTCTCAGTATAATGCAATACATCACCCTTTGAACAATAACTGAACATTTTCTCCTTCATGAAAGGGGGATTTATTGCAGGACTTTTGATGTGGATTCGATTTGAATCCCCATTTTCCATGAATTACTTTTAGGCATATGTACCTAAACAACAGCTGAGTCACTATTTTTTCAGCTACACATGAATGTTATCTCATTGAAGTGTACAATAGTTTCTTTAGGCAAACTGACTATTGAAATGATCCTTAATGACCTTGCAATACTTTAGGCTAACTGAGGCGCAGAGTCCAGCGTTTTGTAGCATCAGTCAAGTGCTCTCTCATATCCCCTCTTGTCTTTTTCCCCCCCAATGAGCCTATGCGAGCAGAGCACTTAAGAGTGTTTTTATTTTAGGCTGCTGGCCGGAGGGAGCAGCTACTGTCTGTGTGAAACAGTTTATGAGGGAAATAAATCCAAAGTATATATGTCACTGTTTTCCCTCAAGACTACTTAGAGTACAGCAGTGGGTTTGGGAGAAATCTGGGGCGGCAATAATGCTAGATCATAATTCCTAAATAGTATTAGTATTTAGTCACGTTGTTGAAGCAGCGGGAGAAATGTCTCAGCGCTGGGGAGGCTGATGTTTGTGTACTGAAGACAGGGAGAAATAAAGTCAAAACTATCCAATCCTCAGCAGGTACTGGTGTGTGTTGGGCGCCCTCTATTCGAAGGATATAAACCGATACAAACAGAAGTATTGTGTTTGTAAGAGTATATGTATTACCACTTCCTTTTAGTGCTGATGGCAGGGAAGGGATTACTGAACAGGCCTACTGAGCCCAGGGGCCAAAGGACTCAGGGGTCTGACTAATAAAATGTCCCTGAAAAGACACAAAACAATCACAAAGAGACGCCTAATGACTGAAATTAAATGGATACAATAAAAAACATGCACATAACGACTACAGAAAACCCCAAAAGGACCACATGGAGACAGACACATTTCTAAAGTGACCCAAAATGACCACAAAGTGACCACAGAGAAATTATGAACATATAAGAATAGATGAATATCGACTTCATGAGATGCAAACAAAGCACAAAGAGACTGAAAATGTCTACAAAAACCCAACTAAGATTTAAAATAGATCCAAAGCAATCACAGGGATGCTAAATTACTATCACAAAAAAGTGATTATAAAACAACATCAAACAGATGCAAAACAACCAGAAATGACTAAAAATACATGCAAAATGATTAACTATTAGCTATCATTCAGTATTTCAACGTCATTGGTGGTATGAGCGAAAATGTGAAGAATTCCTCTGCCAGTGGTCAAAGCTCATCCTTCTGTGTGTTATGTGTGTGATTCAGGAGTAAGGAGCCCCTGAAGGACAGTGTGGTGTCTACCTACGAGGAGCATGAAGACAGCGTGTATGCTGCAGAGTGGTCGTCGGCAGACCCCTGGCTCTTCGCCTCGCTCAGCTACGATGGCCGCCTCGTCATCAACAGGGTCCCCCGCGCCCTCAAGTACCACATCCTGCTATGAGGAGTGACACATCTGTACACATGTGACGCTGATAGAAGCGTAAAGAATGACATTCCATTATAACGTGGCACAGTACGTGTGCTGTGTGAGACACTGCATCTGCTCGTGAGGGCAGCAATGGTAAAAAGCGTGTGTGTGTGATGTAAATAAACTGTGACCCATATGTTCCAATGATAACTGTTAACAATAAAATGTAAATTAAAGTTAAAAAAAAGCTAATTATAATCGTTTCATCATGGCATAATTCCATAAGATTCTGTGTTGAATCATTTTGTGCATAAAAATATGATTGTATTTGTTATCATTTATATATTATCTGTATACAGGTGTTTACTAGTGCTCAGCTATCATTACAACTACTACAGTTATAAAATGCAGCTATCTGAAAACATGATATTTGGTCAAAGAAAACTATGAGAACAAACTATGAACACACCATAGACATATTATCACGTTAGAAAGTAAATATGGCAGACAGTTGCTAAGTTGCACGTGCACAAACATTTTTAGAGATATTTTTCTGACCACTTCAACTTACTCCAAATACCTTTTTGTTTTTTGTAAGTCCGAACCTTTACAGTTTAAAACCAAAAAAATGAGCTGAAAGACGCTAAAAGGCTTGGTAATAATTTAGGCATTGATACAAATTCTAATTGTATCACTAACTAAATTAGGAGTGCTGCTTGCAATACATTTGTAAAGATTAGAGCATGGTCTAAATGTTAAATAAAGAAACATCTCTCAACACAAATACGCTGCCCATTCCCCTTTTCCATGACATCACATCTTCGGGTGTGGTCACGCGTTCGACATGAAGCGTTCAATCTATACAGAGTTCAGCACTTATTTATGAATTCTTGCTGTATTTATGTTCTGATTGTGATTCAGTTTATACTCTTAAAGGTCCCATGACATGGCCATTTCTACTGATCATAAGTCCATTGTTGAGGTATACTAAAATAGATTTATATTGTGCAATTTTCCAAAATCACATTGGTTTCTCATACAGCATCTCTGTATAGTATGTGTATTCACTCGGCTTGTTGGAGCTCCTGACCCCCCCCCCTCCCTATGAGCCGCGTTCCGCCGTCTCAGGGAGGGGAAATCGCGGAGCTGCAGCTGAGAAAAAAGTTTGAGTGTGTGTGTAACGGCTACGTGGACGTAACGTAACGGCTCCACGGATTGGTCCATTTGGGTATGGGCACGTCACTGTACCCAGAAAGAAAAAGAGAAATCTCCAACGAGGCGTTCTGGGGCAGCATAGACAGGTATTTTCTGTGTCAAGAGTTTTACTCGCCGCTACAGGGTGTACTTTAAGGGTTTGTGACTCTGCAGACCGTTTACATGCAGAAAAAGATACATAACACACAAGGGGATGGGTAATAATAGGAAAAGCATGACATGGGACCTTTAAGATTTACATTTTGACCAGATGGACAAACTAATGAACAACCCTACCTACCTACTGTGGGTCTTCTCCACTCTCACCATCCCCTTCTCTTCTTCCTTGTCTTCCTCTCTGCGTCCCCTACTCTTCTCTCCCCGCCCCTCCCTCCCCCTCTCCCTCCATACAGTGTGTGTTGAGCTTGGTCGATAGCGACAGTCCAAGCCTCTGTTATGGCAGACACCATTGACAGGCCTTTTAATTGCAGCTTGGCTCCATGCATCACACATTCACTCACACACACTCTCTCACACACACACACACACACACACACACACACACACACACACACACACACACACACACACACACACACACACACACACACACACACACACACATAAGGGAAATCCACAACAACAGTATCACACTCCTTACTTTCTCTTGTTGGTTCTCATTCTCTTTGACTTTTAACTTGAATCTAAGCTTTAACTCTTTACTCTGTCTTACTGCCATATAGTCTCTGTCTGTTTCTCCCTGTGCACACACACACACACACACACACACACACACACACACACACACTCACACACACAGCCCTTGTTACCCTGCAGTCAATTATTGAGAGGAGGGATCAGGGTGTAGATATAGAGAAATGGTGAGCGCTGAAAAGATAATCGCTGAATATCGCCCATCTGGAAACTTGTGATGCTTGTCACACACATGCAAGGACACACACACATGCAGCACTCATTGTCACTTCTCCAACATCTTCTGGGCACCAGTGAATGAGGAGATGTGACAATGACGTGTGTGTGTGTGTGTGTGTGTGTGTGTGTGTGTGTGTGTGTGTGTGTGTGTGTGTGTGTGTGTGTGTGTGTGTGTGTGTGTGTGTGTGTGTGTGTGTGTGTGTGTGTGTGTGTG